AAGTTAAACTTTATTCTGTTTTTCCTGTGCCCATATTTTATAAATATTTTAGATTTCCAGAGGATCATTTAAGGTCATTCTGTTAACAAAGATTATAATTACGTGCACTGTAACTGGATTTGTGATGGCACACTGTCATTTTCTGAAGAATAATTGGGAAAATATTAATAATGATACAAAGCAGATGGATAGTTCAGATTAACTATTTCTTCATTAGGAATTACACAAATTGTAACATTTTAAAGGACATCTGTAGGAATACAGAGCATTCAGCAGCTTCTAAGAGATACTGTACATGCATGGTTTCCAATAAAGTAATTGGTTTCTGAAATCACTTAATAAACTTTTTATTTCTGCCCAAAAATAAAGTTTACACTGGTGAAGCTAAGCCCTTTCTGGAGTTAAATTTCTAGTTTTAATTATGATATCAGTAAACTCTTTCACAACAAAGAAAGGGGCAAGATGTGCAAGGCAAGCTGGAGAACTGATAGAAATAAGTGAAGTTAATGGGTTGTTCTGATAAATAGACACACTGTATTTGATGTTAAAACGGTGTCTAGTAGAAATTGTGGAGCATATTTCTATTTTAGAAAGAATAGATAAATCATAGACCTCAACCCAAAAAACCTACAGGAGTTACCCTAAAGTTTGTAACTAGAGTTATAAACTTGTATCTCTTGCTGTTGCTGTGAGTAGGTGAATGTTACTGCATTTAATTTAAATAATTGTAGTGGCAGGAACTAATGGAATGTGTTGTGGTTTATTTTTCTAGAGTTCAAGAGCATAAACACATTTTTTATTTTTAATTATTACTATTTTTCCAATTCTAGATCATTTTTTTTTTTAATTCTAGATAAAACTTATGGTATTTTATACTGAACTGCTGAAATAAGAGTAGATTATGCAGTGTAAAAATTGTTTATTAATATTCAGACATGCCCTTTTATTGCAAAAGATACACAACACTATTTGGATTATAGAAGGTAACAGACATGGAGGTGGCTCAGGTTCAACCACTTGATATTGAGTGTTAAGAGTTTGGTATTATTGGTTAGGTTGTTTAGCCCACTCTGTTTTCATCATTTGGTGATAAAAAGCAAGCAAATAATATGAAAATGCTGAAGAGAACCTTTTCGAATTGCTGTTTTACAGTTTAACATTCAGCAAATTTATCTCGGCCTTCTAAATCTGTTGCACTGATCTAATGTCTTACTGCTCCAGATGCTACTGATCTCCTTCATAAATCATTATTTTTCATTTCCTGAACCAGTTCCTTAGTTAATTGTTTCCTTCAGGGTAAACAGTTCCTTCCACAGTGGTCATACAATCATCAACTCATAGAAGGGTTTGGGTTGGAAGGGACCTTTAAAAGTCATCTAGTCCAGCTTCTATGCAGTGAACTGAGACATCTTCAACTAGATAAGATTCCTCAAGCCCCATTCAACCTGACCTTGAATGTTTCCAGGGATGGGGCATCCACTATCCCTCTGGGCAACCTTTTCACCATTTCATTGTAAAAAACTTCTTCCTTATATCCAGTTGAAATCTACACCCTTTCAGTTTGAAACCCTGACCCCTTGTCCTATTTCAACAGGCCCTACTAAAAAGTTTGTTCCTCTCTTTCTTATAATTACGATTTATGTACTGTGGAAGAAAGCAGTCTTGTGAGAGCTCTCACTTTTGCTTTTCCCTGTGTTCTAATGGCAAAACTGGTTAGTTGCCCGATGTCCTTACTTTGCTGCTTCTGCTTTTCTGTTGGTAGTTTGCAATTTCCTTTACCTTTATCTCTCCATGAGTTCTCAAAAAGAGGATAGGAAAGTGCTTTGCTCTTTCTATTCCTCGACATTTCTTCCCAGGTCTCTCCTGCAATTTTGTAGTGATAATATTTTTCATGGAGTAGCTTTGGGAACCAGACCATGCAACAACCACACTGGTGTCCTGGTTTGTGCCCTTCCAGTATTGTCTCCTGACTCCAACTCTGTTTTCATTCTGCACAACTTGAGCACACACAGAAATGCTGAGTAAACACCTGTACTGGCAGGTGTCATTCTGGAGATGAGTAAGATGACATTAATTTAAAATAGGTGAGGAAGGGAGGTTAATTAAGCACTTGATTAAGTACTCTATCATCAGAAAAGAAGGTGTTTTTTTTTTTGACAGGATCTCTCATCTCTAAGTTGATGTTTCCTGCAGCGCAGAATGGAAATGTTAATAACAGAAATTTGAACGAATATTCCCTCTGTAACAAAAATAAATAAAAAAATATATTTTCTTGATAAAACTTTTTTTAGCATTGGTAAGTTAAAAGATAATACTAGCAATTTTTTTTTGGGGGGGGGAAGGAAAAAGCTATAGGAAGCAAATTGGTGGGTAAGGTACTTGGAATGCATTGGGTATTAGAAAAACCTATTTTTTGTTCTGCTACAACTATCTCGTAGTGTTTCTGCAAGTTGATTGGAGTCACAGGGAATCTAGGGGTGAGGCAACTGCAAGAAAAGGACCACTCTACTCACTGATACAGGTTTTCATTTCTGCATTGGCTGGGTATTGCCAGAGGTGTAAGACTCCAAGCTCTTGAGCTACAAGCTTACCAGAGGGTTTTACTTTAAAAATATGCAATTGTCCAACAATATACACAATCCTCTGGAAGTACTAGAAGAGCCTTTGGTTCCTTTAACACTTTAAGAGAGAGCACAGAAGAGAAGATGCTGCACATGTTTTCTCAGTAGGTACTTTACTGGTAAACTTTAGAAAATAAGGGAACTTGGCTCAAGTTTAAAGGGTAACATTCAACCAAAATAAAGCATTCTGCAAAGCAATATGTTGCTTTAGCAATTTGGCACAATTTAGCAAAATCCAACCCACTTATTCTCAAGTTACCCAAAATAATAAGAAAGGAGATTAAGAGAAGAAGAAAGAAGAAGAAAGAGAGAGAAAAAGAGAGAAAATATAGCTGCCACTAGAGAGTCCTGTGCAAGTCCGGCTTCCACATGACCAGATGGTAGGATTGAAACGAAGATGGAGAGCTGCTTTTATTTGCTTTGGCCCCCCTGTGTCCACACTCCCCACCCCCAGCCAGGACTTCCAGTGTACCAGCCAATCTGGGGCTGGGTCAGGAGCTCTGAGCAGTGGTGTGGGCATTGCTCCCGAGATGCCTTTCACTGACAGCTGCTCCAGGGCTGCCCAAGGAGGCTTGCATGAGCTGCAGTGTGGGACAGGGAATCACCTCATCTCAGTGAAATTCAACCTGTCCCTTTCCCCTTGACACACACACTTTAGTTGGTCCAAGCCAATAATTTAGTGTCTCACAAAAGGACAGCTGGGGCAGGGTGTGCTGAGGAGGAGCATGATACACTTGCATTTTTGGTATAGTGTGTATATCCACGTGTGGTAGCTGCAGTGGCCCTGCTCATGGACATGGTCAGCACCGCAGGCTCAGAGGAGAGGCCATCCAGTGCCAGCAGTGGTGATGGCCCAGGCCCAAAGGGCAGAGCTCCGTTCCCCTTCAGTGGTTCAACCCTGGGATCCTCCTGCAAGGTTACAGCCTTGTTCATGGTTTTACTCCTGGGTCATTAGCAAAGACCTCACTGATCCCTCAGTCAGTCTCTTTGACTTTCTTCACGTCTAAACCCAATAAGCAATTGTTAGCCAGCACACTGCTTCTGGTCTCCTGCCCTGAAGGCCTTGTAAGGATGGGAAGTTCATCTATGCTTCTCCCCGGTGCGTTGCTACACTGGTAGAGTGGGCAGATGTTGTTCAGACTTCATTTTATCCAAGCACTGCTCTCAAGTAGATTTTACCCCATAATATTTGGCATGTCTCATTTTGTTTTGTTTGTGACATGGAGATAATGGCCACTTTTCATTTAGGGAATGCTTCTCTCCAGAAATACATTTTTAGTACATTTTCACCTATGCAATACGGGGGCTGTCTCCTAGCAGTGTGTAACGAGTGGGTGTGTGTAGTGCAACAGGGCTCTTCAACGTAGTCTCTCAGCATCACCAGCAGCTGCTGTGAACAGAAAAACATTTTGTAACTGGTAGTGGTCATTTAAAGTGTGTGACTGGTGTTGACAAGAGGCATGAGAATGCTGTTGACTTTTAGAAAGCAAATGGTTCCTATTTCAAGTTTTAGTCACGATGAGTTTTAAATACTTTGTGAAACAGAAGTGTGTTCAACATGGTGACATCTTGAATATACATTAGGCTTGAAAAGACTATTTAAACTTTAATTTTCTAAGATGCTATATTTGCTGTCTTATGAATGAGGCTTACTATAAATTGTAGGTTCTTAATCAGACTAATTTTATAGGAATAATTCCAGAACATTTAATTTGTGATAGAATTAAAATTATTAATAACTCAGTTGAATAGCCAGTGTTAACAGTGTGTTGCTTACTCATACCTCTGGGGAATGTTAGGTAATCAGCAGCTATCCTCTACTTTGGAAAATATGTTTCTTAGAGTTACCTTCTTTTCAATTGCATTTTCTCCAATGGATATTTGCCTCTTTTGTTAAAAAATAGATAAATAAAACAAAAGCTTTTTCAAAGGAGCTTATTTATGTGTTGAGGGGAAAACATTTGTATTTGCAAATAAAAAAAAATTATACTAGTATGATGGTAGAGACAAACCTTGGCTAATCCTTTAATACAGTGGTGAAGGCATTAGAACAAATTAATTCATTGTTAAAATATTGATGGTTCCCAGTTTGGTAAAAAGAGAAGATTGAGGTATTTTTATATTTATAATATATTTTTAAGAATATAATTTCTGTGTTTTTTTCTTGTCTAAATATGTTAATTCTATGCCATGCCACAGTATTCTTGTGAAGGAGTTTCATGTTCAGAGATCCTTGTTAGGTGTTATGAGAAAAAGTTTAGGTGTTAATACCACCGTTACACTTCTCTCTGAAAGAGCTTTTTTTTTAGTAAAATACCCTCTCCCTCATTTCCTTGAATTTTGACATGTGTGTGTTTTTTTCATTTTGTTTGCCAGCAGCTAAAGAGGCAGTAGATTTGATCTGGCAAGTCATTTGGAAAAGGAGGAGTGGAGAAGTGCCCTGTAACCACTGAACAGTAAGTGCCTGGTTTACCTGCTATTTTAGTCACAGAAGAAAGTAGGATACACAGATGGATTGGTATGAAACTTTTATAATACTGAGAGGCATAAAAAAATGTGCACGCATGGAAGTATAACTGTTCTGAAATACTTCAAAAAGAAAGCCAAGAGGTCTGCTTGGATGTAATTATGGATCAGGTCATGAGCAGGGTTGAGGTATACAATGTAAATTATTAAAAGCCAAAACTGAAAAGTACCTTAAGTGAAATTCTGTTACATTGATTCAGATACTAAGTAGCTTTAAATATTCAATATAGAAAGTCTCTAAAATTAGAAAACGCAGTTTGGATGTGTGCACACAACTCTGCCCTTGAAAACTAGGAACTAATTGAATAAAGGCATGCCTGTCAACTGTATTTGCATGCTATTAAAAACACTGCTGTGTTTTATCCTGAAGATGACTGTCAGTTTTGCTTGCAGCATGCTTGTCTGTTAATTCTAATGCTTTTTTGATTCACGTCAAATTAAAATTTCGTTTTCGAAAAGCAGGTGTTAACTGCTTTCAGTTTCTCCCCAGCAGAAAATATCTCTGTAGCAGAAAGCGCTATATAATAATAAATCTAACAGGATAGATTTGGATATGAGAGGCTAAGTTGGAACACTAAAGTATGAAACTTGGACTTAAAAGTGTTTAGACACATTTACAGGTGTATTAAGCGCTTAAACTGTTGTCTGAGGACAGTCATAAAAGAAAAATATTTAAACTCTGCACTTAATGTGCAATACTTTAAGAACTTTGCTACTTCAACAAATTAGTTTAAAATGAAATTTTTGCTTTTCTTACAATTGAAAATCTTAAGTCATCCGAGAGTGAAGTTCATAACGCTAAGTTGTACTTTTGTTACCTTAGAAATTATGAACATGGCTTTAATACACAGTAGTGTCTTTTGTTCATACACAAGTGTGGAGTAGGAGAACACCATAAGATCTCCCTGACACTGGGACAAACTGCTCCCTGTGTACTTTGATACACACAGAACATTGATCCTTTCGGAACAACAAACAGCAGGGTTGGGAAGCAAAAGAATGGTGTTGTATTTTTTTTTGTGTGGATGTACCTGGCATTCAGGCTGGACCCAGTCAAATCAATCTGCTTGTTCTTTGCTACTGGATGTACAACTCTCAGCTGTGTTCCCTCTCTCCTTTGTGGTACCACATCTGATGCTCCTTCATTTCCTTGGGAAGCCAGTTGCAGCACAATAGCCAGAGAAAGACTGACTCAGCCAAAAATCTGAAGGGTTTTCTGTCCATTAAGTTAGCTAGATTGAAGTGAGATGGCAGGCAATGAGAAGAAAACCAGAGGAAGTGGACCACAACTTTCAGCAGCTTTAGAGTACTGGAGAAAATAATCTGTCTTGTCTAGCCAAAACCTCCCTCCATCCACAAAATTTAGATTCAAAACTTCTGTCTCTGAGGGACTGCATAACTCCTTCTACCATCTCCTTGGGTTTTGGATAGAAATAACTTCAACTCCTGAGTAATAAATACTGGTTTGCTATAAAGGAAGGAAGGAACTGAAAAACTGAGAAAATCAATAAATTACATAAGCTAGAGGAGTTGTGGTATTATAGTGGAAGATTAGGTGGTTTGGTTTTTTTTTGATAAATATTACATATTTTAAGATTGACTGTGATATTACAGGACATCTCCTGGTGGTTGGTAGAAATATGGCTTGAGACGTTGTCTGAAAACAAGTTGCCATGGGGATGTAGCTGCAATACTACATTAATAATCAATGTCAAGGCTGTACGGTAGACATCAGTGGTTGAATTGCAAGTATCATGGAAGTAAAACCAAAAACTTTGAGTAAAATATAAAGAATTATGAAGATTACAAGACTTATAAGCCTTTTGCCTGAATTTTGGAGGCAGTAAGATATTTGATCTTATTTTCAGAAATGGAGGTTCTGATCTTAGGTTATTGGTATAAATCCTGCCTAGTCTAGTAAGACTGGAAGGGTTGCTACTTAAGGACACATTTCTAAGGACAATTTTTCTACACATTTGACACTAATAATTTTCTTATTAAAGATTTTATTTGAAGAGATGGGGGAAGTACCTGTGTTATGGGTCCATAGGATATTTTCTCCAGTTTGTCCTGAAAGACTGTTTTTCAGCACAGTCACAACATGTGAGTGAGTTTGTGTTGGGAATAAAGACTGATTACTTTGACATTAGCTATTCGGGGCCTTGTCTGTGTATATGAGAAAGTTCATGATTACTAAGAATGTTCAGTCAGTGATGAACAGTTGTTCTGATGGTCTGTAATTGTGCAGAGTGGGAGTATATTGACATGAGTAGTACATAGCTGTCACTGAGTTTATTTAGGAAATACTGATAATTGAAAGACCTGCTGTTTTTGTGTACTGTTATTTTGGTGGTGTTATTTTGTCACGTAAATTTTTGACACATTGGATTTATGTTTAAGTGTCAAAATAGGTAGAAGTACAAATTTCTCATAAATTGTTTGCTTTCAGTCATTTATTTTGGTACATATCAGAGGATTGATGTCCTGTGAGCTGTGTCTTACTACTAGTGTGTGTAGTCAGCTTGCCTGAAGTCTCATTTCCTTTCTCCCTGGTGAAAATACAGTAAAAAATGAATTAGAAAAAAGTGTGGTCTCTGGTGCATTACTTTCATAATGTTATTGCTAAAAGCAGCTGTAGGTAATGGAGATGGAGCTCCATCTGTCTATGACTTCTTTATTCTAAATTACTCATTCTGAAGAAGTGATTTTTTTTAATCTTTGCTATCAATGAAATATAGAAATCCAATAGAAAGACAATTTTAGAAATGCAGATATTTTCCCCTGTATTTAAATGTTTGTGTTTAGAATAAGATAGTGTATATACATAACCTAATTGCATAAAAACAATATGATTTTTATTAGTTACAGTCCACATTATAAAAATAATAAAGGGTAGAGGATGAAAGAGGGGGAAAAAACCCCTAACAGTAATCTGCAAAATTTTTCTGTTTAGCTATATAATTGTTTTTTGGCAAAATTTACTTACTGGTAGTAGTAGATTAGTTTTATTTCATGTGTGTAAGGCAAAAGACCTAATGGACATGGCAAAAATTAATAGGATATTTGCTGGAAGAAAGTATGGCTAAGTAGCATTATGGACCTAATAATATTGAGACATACCAGTGCTGTGCCTTCACTTTCATCTATTAGCTAAAATAACTTAATTTTTGCTTTTAGTAGTTTATGAAGATTGCATATTTGAATGATTTACTATTCAAGATATGTTATGCATTTTACAGTGTTCATATAGTGTATATTTATCCTTTAATAATCACATTTTAAATGGGAAAATTGCATAGAAAATGCCCTTGTTTATGCATTAAAACTCTTATATCTTCATAGCAGACCATATTTCTCAGACATTTGTTTGAATATATGCTGAAATAAACAAAGTTGGGCTTTTCCTCTTTATAATGCATTGGTCTGTTCTTGACCTCTTTTTACAGAGGGACATGTCACTGATTGACAATATCCCTTGTATACTGCAGATAAATGAGTTCTAAGAAAATTAGCCTACACGTGTATCAATATACACAGAGTGTCTGAACACAATGCAGGCATTTTAACACAGATGCCTGATCACGTAGTGCAGCCCAAGCTCAGTCCTTTTCTGTCAGAGCTGGAGAGATGCTGTTCACAAAAAATAATTGTTCTCATATGTATTCCCCTTTTACAGATAGAATAACTGGAAACGTATGCATCAAGCAGTTACGTTAGAAGCATTTTGGATTCCTGATCACATTTTTTTTCTCCCTTTTCCTTTTGTATTTTATATACCTTATGTAATTCAACTATTTATTATATGCTTCTAAATAAAATATAAATTATTATTTTGAAATATAAAATCTAAAAAATAACCCCATAACACACTTTTTATTAGTTTAGAGTTTGGTGTCCAAACTGATCAACACGATTATGAAAACATTTATGGAAGGCAAGACTGCAGTTTAATGAATAATTCTCCTTTCAGTCCTTTCCCCAGTGTTTTCCAAGAGTAATGTTTACAATGCAATCTAGTATTGAACTCCTATTTATTATTTCTTCTCTAATGATAGAATTAACTGAGGTGAGAAATATCTGGTTTCATAAAATGTTGTAGATCATATTAGGTAAATTGTTGCAAAGGCTAATGTAATCTATAAAACTCAGAACTTAGTATTTTATAAATTTCATGCCTATAATAAATTTATAAATTTCACACCTAAAAACTAAAAAGTTTTCTAGATTGCAGAAAAGACTATTTAACTCTTTGGAATAGTAGAGCAAATGAGTGTAATTTTTTGCTTACTTTTATTTAGGAGAAATACCATAAAATAATATTACTCTATTAAGTCATCAGTGCTGATTCAGAATTGTGCGAATTCTTTAATAATATTATTTATTTTCATTATCTTTGATTAAGCAATGAATATGACATTCTTTACTGGATACTTTCTTCTTTGTTTGTATATATCTTTTCATGTGTCTCTTAACTTTTCATGCATAATAAATCTACATCATTGTAATAATCACATAAGAGCCCTTCTTCTTTATGCAGGGGGCATACCCAAGTGTTAAACACTAGTCCATGTTGCTTAAATCTGACAAAGGTAGCTTTTACAGACTCTGTTCAGTTTCAAGATGTGTATAAATGCAATAATGTCAGCACCTCAAAATTTAGAGTTTTAGAAAGAAAACTAATACTCAGGTTTCAAAATTACAGCAAGCTGCATGATGATTATGATGTGTTGGAACTGACTTCATAATCATGAAAAAGCCATGACAGCTTTGGTCTGCTCCTTTAAGACAGTCATCACCTCAGAAAACAAATGAACAAAACATTTCTCTGATGTTTCTTCAGTATAGGATGGTTTTTGGGACAGAACATCATTGCTATATATATATTTTATTCCATCAGCCATTACCTAGGGGTTAAAAATTAGCTTTGTGA